CTCTAGGAGACAGAGAGGAAAGCCCTGTGCCTGTCCCTTGAGAAATGGCTCAGAGATGCTGGAGCAACTTAGTCCATCGCTGTGATGGTAACATTTTCCAGTGCTGGGATTTTTTATGAAATCAAGACAGTACTTTTACAACAAATACTGATTTCCCCTCTGTAGGATAAAAGCCCTTGCTGATATACATGTGGTAGAGGTACAAAGGATGATGATTTACATTTCAGGCAGGGGTCTCACTGAAAGCAGGATCAGGGGCCATACAAACACCATGGTTCCACTATTAAAATGATAGCCAACAGGCAAAAGAATTTGATTTTTCCATAGAGTGACAGCCTGACAAATCACCAGCTGTTTATTAGATTCTGAATCAAACAGCTGAGGCCAAAGCATTGTAAGCAATTTTAATAAGCAGTAAATTGCACACTGCAAACAAAAAGTGTTTACAAGATTCTATGACCTGACCAGATGGAGGGGGAAACTCTCACAGGAAAAAAAATTGATCTTTTCTTCTTTTTCATCTTATATAGCCATACATCTTTCTTTTGTCACTAAGAAACATTTAGTCAACTGAGCCTGAAGAGCTATTGAGAATCAAAATGAGATCCATCCATGAAACTAGCCTATCTTCTTCACTGTCTTGATTATTTCCATTTTCCAAGTCCCATGATAACCTTTGTAAGCTCACCCATCTTCTAGTTTTTCATGAAAATCTCCTTCCACAACAAGATTACAACCTTCTGATGTACAGAGTGCATCTGAAGACAGGATTCTGCATTCTATAGCAGGACAAAAAAAAAGTAGGCTGATGGAATAAGAGAGAAGTTTAGAATCCCTTTCCCAATTTTCTTCTTTTGAAAACAAGCTACTTTGGTATCATACCTGTCCCTCCCTTAACTTTTGTCTCTATCTCTCTGATCCCTGTATCAAAGGCTGGGGCTCTATTGCTTGCTGGGAAGAACTATAACACTTTGGCAATTACTTTTGGGAAAGGTAATTACACTGTCACTGCTTCTTACTGGCTATGGCAGCAACTCCGACCTACAGCGCATTTTCTTTAGTAGAAGAAACTATTAAATGAGTCAGACACCTCTTTGATTCATACCCACAGAGAAGGCACACAGTGCTGCTTCCTTTCTGGAACATCAGTCACATAGTAAAGGAAAATAGCACAGCATATTTTTTCTTACTTTTGTTCTGTTTGGAACATTTCAGTGAACTGTGCTTCTGCTTGGCTTCTAAGAGGGTCACAGAGCTGGTGCTTCTCTGCTGTTCTTGACTTTCCATTGTCCTCTCGGTCAACTGCTGTGACAAATCTGGGCTTCTCTGCCAAGACTTGCATAGACACCCTTTCTCCACACAGAGCTCCCCTGGCAGCTCCTGGGGCTCTACCCTCCCACTTAGATTCCTGCTAAACTTTGCAAAGCCTGACCTGCTTTGCCTCAGGGGTCATTTCAGCTCCTTAAAAGGGAGCACAGCTTCCTCTGACATCCACTCTGAAGAAAAAGAGGGCACTGAAGACACCAGTTTTAGCAACGCTCTCTGCTCTTGTTCCTTTCTTTGTTCTCCATCATAAACCTTTTTGTCACCATCATTTACATCAATCATTCACTTTCTTTGCTCCAGAACAGCTGTCCTGACACAGTGGTCCATCTGTGAGCAGGACCATTAATACACCCTTAGGAAAGAGTGTATGAAACAGGCCACTTAGAGAGAGTCCCTCTCCAGTATTCCCCTTTCAGATTGCAGTTCAGGGACTTTTTGAGCTTAAGTTTGCATATGACTGCTAATATTTAATACTCCATTTCTTCGTGTTTTAAATCTGAAGCCTGATAGTTCAGTTTCAGGCCTCTGGTTCCTGCATCTTGAGAAGGAATGAATAATTCCCTTTTTGCAGTATCCACCTTAGCCATGACTTTTGTATATAGTGATCATGGCCCACAGTTACTCTTTCTTGAGCTGAGCTGAAACAAATGCTGCCCTAGTTACTATATCTTGGGGGAAAAAAAAAGTCAATTTATACCTTTCAACAGTCTTGCCATCTTGCTTTGAACCTTCTCCTGTTTATACAGCTTGGAAACTGAAAACTGCCAGCATCAGTCTGTTCTGTGTTGCTTACATAATTCCAACAGAAGTCTTCCAATGCTGAAAGTTAGGAGATAAATGTTTGCTGTTAATTTTGTATGAAAATCCATATATTTTTATTGTATTCATTTCTTTCAACACTTTCCTCTTTTGAAACAAAGCCTGATTTTTTAGACAAAGCTGTTAAGTAGTAATCCTATGATTTTTAGGGTCAGCTTACTTTTCTAAACTCAATGTAATTTATTTTAAGGAAGCCACTTGTCCACTTTCAGTGTCATAAAAACCCCTGAGCTGATCTCCTAGAAAGCTTTAATGTCCAACTGACTGAAGTCTAGATTGATGGAGGCATGGGCAGGTCTCCAGGACAGCAGGCACAGTAACTTATAAAGACAAATGTCCTCCCCCTAATCAATCCTCCTGCCCTGCTAGTGTCCCTAACCCCTGACAAGCTGGGTTTCTGTCAGATGAGCTCTTGAACCCTCAGTCTGAGGCTGTACACCTGCAAATGCTGACGTAAGAAGACTGGTGTCCTGGTTTTGTATGGGATAGAGTTAGCTTTCTTCTTAGAAGCTGGTACACTGCTGTGTTTTAGATTCAGTGGGAGGATAATGTTGATAACACACTGATGTTTTGGTTGTTGCTACATAGTGTTTTCCCTAAATCAAGGACTTTTCAGTGTCCCATGTTCTGCTACTGAGGAGTTGCACAAAAAACTGGAAGGGAGCATGGCTGGGACAGCTGACCTGAACTGGCCAAAGGGATATCCCATACCACAGAGCATCATGCCCAGTATAAAGAGGGGATGTTGGCTGGGAGGGACAGATCGCTGCCTGGGGATGGACTGGTCAGCAGGGATGGAGCAATTGTAGTGTGCATCACTTCCCTGCTTCGGGTTGTATTTCTCTCTCTCTCCTTTCCGTTACAATTATTACTATTACCATTATTGTTGTTATCTTCAGTGTTACTAGTATTATTACATTTTACTTTTTTTTGATTATTAAACTGTTCTTATCTCAACCCACAAGTTTTACTTTTTCCTTTGATTCTCCTCCCCACCCCTTCAGGGGGACAGGGGCAGTGAGGGAGCTGCTGCATGGAATTAGTTGCTGGCTGGGGTTAAACCACAACAACTGGGAAGCAAAAGGACCAGGCTTCCCATTTAGATCAGCTCAAGGAGCACTGACTAGGCTGGTGTAAACCACAGTCTCTGGCATGGGAAATGCTGGAGAGAAGCAAATGAGAGGACATGGTAACTGCCTGAGTTTGATCTGTTGGACCTTAAGATGGTGAGTGAACACAATTCAATAGAACAGAGCAAGCATAATTTCCAGTCCTTGTATATATGAGGGGGAGGGAGAGAAGAACAGGAAGCAAGAGACAAAAGCTGGGGTTTCATTATTCTTTTCTGCAGTTTTAAACTTTTGTTAAGGTAATGAAAGAAAAAGTTGTGTTATGAAGTTAAGTTAATGTAGCAGAGAGGAAGTTCCACTGCTAAACTGAACCTGATGCTCATAGAAAGTTGACAAAATGCTCAAATGTCAGGTACATTTGAAGCAACCCCACTAAGGAGAGTGGATCGAATACACACCACCAATAGGAACTAAGCATCAAAAAGACAACAAAGCTTTATACAGTTTCAGAAAGAAACTGATTTCAGAAATCAGTTGTCACCATGACTTGGAAGTACCAAATATAATCACAGTGGGAAAAAAGACCATTGCATTTTCATCTAAAACAAGACAACTTCAGTAATTATATGTGTGGGCATTTCTTGCTAAGGCTACAATCTGGATTTCATTCTTTGTGGCAGAATGCCAGATGAGAGGAAACAGCTTATTTAAAATTGCCCAGAGAAGGATTACAGGTTTGTCTCACTGACTGATGTATTTTCAGCCTAAATTTTTTCCCCACATCTCCTTTTCCAAAGGCTGTTCATCTGTTGCCATAGAGACCATTTCCAGTCTCTTTTCCCTTCCACAGGCTCTATTCTGGGGGATCACTACTGCAGCTTCCCAGGCTACTCTGTCTGTGCCTCGTGGCCAGGAGTAGGGGAAATAGTAAAGCAGAACATCTGCAGCCACACAATACACAGCTGCTGGTAGCGGAAATACTTCCATTTTTTATCCACAAAGCTGGCGTGTGGAGGCTGATGGAGGATAAGCTGCAGCCACCCAAGCACATGGAAACGTGGGCGTGCACCGCGACTGCCACATCTACCAGGATGCCTTTTCATCATTTAAAGGCATCTGTCACATCAATCATACTCCTCAATTTTTTTGTCCCCCTGGCTTTACTGTAATGGAGTTTATTGGAGGTGACGGGAAAGCATAAAGGATTCACTTTCGCTCCAGTTCAGCGCCAGTGACCCCCGAGCCTGCACAGCCAGGGGAGCCGCCCGCACGGCGGCTGCGGGGGACGGGGCACGGCTGAGCAGCGACGCTCGTACAGCCGCAAATGGGTGTCCCAGGACACGCCCGGGAAGGCCTCGGGCTCCCCGAGGTTTCACTTCACTTCGCTTCACTCGGTGGCACCTTCAGAGCCTGCAAGACACACCTCGGCCGCCATGGGAGGGGAGAGAGGCCGCTGCCTCAGGACCTCCCACCGGAGAGGGAGGCCCCTCCTCTGCTTGCTGTCTTACGGCGTTTGTTCTTTTGAGGGGGTTTATATTATTTTCAAGGGTTTTTTGGGGGGTTGTTTTTTTTCACGTTGGGGCCGCGCCATTTATGAGGGGGCGCGCGCCCCTCAGCCCTGAGGCACCGCCCGCCTCGCGACCTCGGCGCGCGCACCGGCCCCGCCCCGCCCCTTAGGGTAGCGGAGTGACGTCAGCGCCTCCACCCCCCCCGGCGGAGCCGCGCTCTCTCATTGGCTCCCGGCGGGCGGAAGCGGCCCCGCCCCCGGACAGCGGCGGGGTGGCGGGAAAGGCCTGAGGAGCCCGAGGGGTCCGACCGAGCGGGGTCCGGCAGGGGGGCCCGGCCGGTCTGACACGGCACAGAACAGCACAGAACAGCACAGCACAGAACAGCACAGAACAGCACAGCACAGAACAGCACAGAACAGCACAGCCGGCACCGCCGCGGCCATGCAGGCCTTCCTGAAAGGCCCGTCCTCCATCAGCACCAAGCCCGTGGCTGCCAAGGAAAAAGGCGCGGCGGGGAGCAGCGGGGAGGGCAAGAGGACCAAACCCATCCCCTGGGTGGAGAAATAGTAAGGGATGCTCTGAGGTCGCTGGCCGGGAGGGAGGGGTTGGCTCGGCAGGGGTGTGGAGAGGCAGTGGGGGCACAGCAAAGGGGGTCGCAGCTGTGGGTGTCCGCACCGGGCAGAACAGCTTAACTTGCCCTGTTCGGGATGAAACCCAGCCCTGTGAGCTGCTGTAAGAGCCCCTTGTGGCTGATACTGAGCAGAAAATGCCTCTTGCCCATGTCAAGCGATGCAGTTTCATTGCTACGGTTCCATGTGTAAATGCTTGAAATGCTGGTTTTTGTGGAGCCTTTACCACAAAGTCGTAAAATATTGCAGTTCCGCTTCTAAAAATGGCTCTGACAGGTGTTTACAATAGAAAAAGACAAACAGCTTCCAGAGGAATTAGATCACTTCAGTAATATGGACTGGAGATGTTAGATTTTCTGTTATGGTTTTGACCTCAACTACAAAAGTCACTGTAATTCTTCACTACCTGATGTAATCAGAAGGGGAAATGTTGTTTTTCTCATTTTCAGCTTGCTTCTGAAACTTCGTTAGCTAATAAGTTGTCCTTAATGTCTCTCTATTCAGTCGCCCCAAAAACGTGGATGAAGTCGCCTTCCAGGATGAAGTTGTGGCTGTGCTGAAGAAGTCCCTGGAAGGTGCTGATGTGAGTGCAATGGTAACATCTACCTAATCAACAGGTTCAGACAGACACTTGAGCCAGTGGTAATGAACGTTCCTCTTTTCCAACTTAGCAATGATCATTTTTGCAGTGGTACTTTATAACCAAGCTGGGTGACTTCCTCGTAGAATGTTGTGATTTATGTGTAAAGCTTCCAACACTCCAAACACTGTAAAGGTGTCAGCTCCATGATGCAGTTTGGAATTTTTCTGGTTTAAACTTCTTGTTGATGGCTTCAAATCTGAAAAGGCCTTTGCTGTCTCCTCACTACTGTTCCACAGCTGCTTTTGACATGCATGTTTAAGAGAAGAGGGGAAGTTTTTCTTTCGTAGAAAAGTTTGAATTGTCAGTCATTCCTAAGCCGTTCTAGTGACCTATCAGTGCTTCTGTGAAACTGCTAAACACTAAAGCTGTTTGCCAGTGAGGGAAATTTAACTTATAAGTGTCCAGTCTACTACTCTGATAGTGATCCCCAAACTTTATGGGTTAAAGTTTCCAAGTAAGTCTCTTTGGCTTTAAAATCTAAGTATGACAGTTGCTCTGACTTCACTGCAGTGTTTTCTTCTGTGCCTTAAGAGTATAAAGAAGATGAGCAGAGCATTTTCAGTTGCATTTATTTACACTTGCATTTTCTTTGGGATAAAAATGTATGTATGATGGTTATTTCTTCCAAACCAGATGATAGGAAGGTGCAAGGAATGAAGGCAGAAATAAAGTAGGTAGCCAAGAGATAGCTGTGCTTTTTTCTTTTTTTTCAAATCTGAACAATTTCTTCCTTTGTACCATCTGAGACCTTTTTTCCCCCATGCTTCACCTACAATTGTCATTCTTGTGCTTCAGAAGCTGGTTCTGTTTGCGTGATCTGGTAATGCCAGCTGAGATGGTGGGTTGGGATGTTCTGAAAATGCCATTTGTGATATGGCTGTCTGCTCACCCAGACCTAAATGAAGCAATTTGGACCGTTCAGAGGTTTATTCAAGAAGCCTTTCACTTGAAATGTGCTCTGATGCTCAATATGCACAGGCAGTGTTTGGTACTTGAAACTTTTAGCTTAAGACAGTTTGCCATTGTTATTTTGGCCAGTATGAGTCTGTTCCTCTCCAAAGATTTAATTAGAACTTGCAAAAGCAGAAGTACCTTATTTGTTTGAGCATGGGGAGCCACAATCAAACTGGTATCACAGAACTGGGAAGGACTTGTATTTCTTTCTTTAGTTCATGTCTCCAGTTTGCTTTGAGAATGCTGTTGTGATGTGACCTTGTCATGTAATGTTGTACCCACAGAAGTCTGCGTTTCAACAGTAATGTTGCTGTATTACAGTATTTGTACAGTTGGGGTAATGAGGATGGAACTGTTAACAGTGAAGGGAAAATGAGCTGCTGTCACCTCTTCTGACTGGACATATCACTTGTGTAGCGTCACTTAGGTGATGGGTTGGGAAGTTCTATTTTGAGCAACAGTTATTTAAAACCTTACAGCTTCTGGGTCAGCTGTGTTTCTTGGATCCTGAACCTAGTACACTTGTGCTGACTTTTGGCCTCCTGAGTTGAACAGACAAATCCTAACTTCTGCTTGTGGTTAGAGGCTTTGTCTTTTGCCATAGCAGCCCAAACTCAGCAAGGCATTTGAGAACAAAATCATGCAGGTACTTTATAGCTGATGTTTTTTAAAATGTGGACATTTTATTAGTTCATTAAAGGACTTGTTCTGTCAAAAAAGCAGAAGTGTAGTTGAAACTCTGAGGTGGCTGGTACTTATTCAGAAGTTCTTGCTGAATTTGGAGATCTGGTGAGATCAAAGAAACAGCTGTGACAACGCTGCAGGTTTGTGTCATGTGCTTTATTTAAACCTTAGTGTTGACAATGGATAACCAGTCCTCTGTTGATTGGCCTGTATTTGTGGGCCTTGGTTTGGGAGCTTCTAAAAGCAGCAGGACTTGTAACTCCCTGTTGTATCTCCATCTGTCAGACCAAGCATCCATCCTGATATAAACTGTGGAGAGCAGAGCCCCAGTGGGTTTGAACTGGAGCAGCTGATTTCTGTCTGCCAGGATTGTTCCTTTGGTTGGTGTTTTTTGCAAAGAATCTGACAAGTGGCACAGTGTTCCTTAGTTTTCATTTGCTTCATGATACCTCAGTGACTGAAAAGAGAGTTAAGTGTAGGATTATCATTGCAATTTCCATCTTCACTTGTACTGAAACTTCTGGAAAAGGAGTTGGGGTTTGCACTGTATGTGGTGACTTTCCCATGAACAGGGTGATGCCTGTAAGCAGGTATCCTGCTTACCCCTGGCAAGCATAGAAAAATGGATAACCAGATCAGGTTGCAGTTTGTTTAAAAATACTACCACAGTTACATAAAGGATTAGGCTGTGCTTGGTGAAAAACTAGTGTAAATACTTCCATGAGAAAAAAGCATAAATGAGGTTGAAACAGAACCAGTGATAAAGTAGAGGTGAAATGGAATTAAGGAACAGTTTCTTATTAAAACTTCTTACCTGCTAATGCTTTTTTTGAGAACTAGTAGTGTGTGAATTAGCATTGAGGCATGAAATTATGAATTTCCTTGAAAATATCTGCCCTTGCAACCTAAGGAGGTTGGTGAATTTTCAACTGTCACTCAGTACACATTTCATCTCCCTGCAGCTGTCACGAAAGATAGAGGGGCACAACGATGAAAATTGAAAAAATGTTAGTATGGGATGCAGTTTGCTTGTTAGTAATTAGGGAAACAAGCAGTGATTGATTGGCAGGAAAAGCAGGCAAAACTTGAAAATTATTTATTTACTAGGTATTGATGAGAGATTGAAATTCTTCTCTCTGTACTTTTACAGTAGGTACATGGTTGAATCTGTTCTCTGTATCTTGTCTTAGTTGTTAGAATGGGTTGGTTTTTACCAAAATGATTGTCTCTGTTTCATTTTTGGATTATGGACTGTGTACTTCTGCATTTTTCTCTGCTCTTTGGATGGTTTTGGTCTTGCTGTTCCCATTCTGTCAGCATTACATGCTATATTCAGCATAGAATTCTCTAATCTAATTTTAGTTGACTCTTCTTAAAAATAGAACATTTATTAAGGGCTGGAAATCAAGTCAGACTGAGAGGTTTGTCTTTTTGCTATTGATCAGAGGGGACTTTTGAATTCTTGTTTTAAAAATATAGAACTGGAACATCCCCTACTGTTAAAACCAGCAGTTTTAAAGTGATAATTTATAAAAGGGATTCATTGAGACAGTAGTATAGGAAGCTGTCATTCCTATGCTAGTTAGAAAGCTCCTTGATTTCAGGCAAAATTCAGTCATGGCTTATACAAATTTGGTTTATGGCAGCTCTCTGACAGACAAAACAAAAGCAGCTTATCTTTTATTCCAGCTGGTGAATTTCAGGTATCTAGCAGATATTTAGTTATATTCTCAAATTGGGAGATTTTTTTGCTTCATGCTGCCAAACGTTATCCTATAATTATTACTGCAGTCTTTGCTGTGCTGCTTTGATCTTCCTGTGTCAGCATATTTCCTTAATGCAGTCCTTTTATTCATGCTGGGGTCATTAATTACATTATTTTAAAGATCAATTAACCTAATCTCTTTAAGAAATGCCACTGGTCTCCTTTGAAAAATCCTTGGGTGGTGTGGGTTTGGCAGGGCTGTGCAGTGCAGGGAGCCGCTGGGAGTGTCCCTGTCACTGTGCCTGCAGTGCCCTCCCTCAGTCCAGCCCAGGCATTCCCGAGCTGCCCTGTGCTCACTGAGGGGAGTTGGTGGCAGTGCAGAATTCCCAGCATGGCAACAAGGCAGTCTGGGGAGCTGAGAGAGCAAGGGATAGTTTACCTGTGACCAGTGGTGTCACAGTGCACTGTTAGTGTTACCCAGGCTGCTTGAAGGTCATGCTTGGGTAAATTTGTATGTCACTGCAGTCATAACAGTCAAATTCTGAAGGCCATAGTGATCTCAGACGTGTCCTGGAGAATTTATAAAGAAAATAAAAATGGGAATATCAGTTTTGATAGAACATGTGATGGTGCCACCAAATAACAGCTTGTTCATGCTGTCTTATAAACAGCAACTGTTTGTCCTCTCTTTAGAGGCCTAATAGTGAAAGACTTGGTATTGTTTACTCTGAGGAGTAGAGAGTTTCTGTTCTATGAGGTGCTCAGATTTTCAGTAGGTTTTGCTGGTTTCTGTTTGTTTTACTCATTTGCTTTTCTTAAAAATGGTCCCTTGCTGTTTCAGCTTCCCAATCTGTTGTTCTATGGCCCACCTGGAACTGGAAAGACTTCCACTATTTTAGCAGCTGCCAGAGAACTGTTTGGGTAAGCTGGAATCAAATTGCTTGGATGTAGTTGACTGTCACGTCTCCTAATCATGTGACACAGTGCCTCTGGTCGTTGCCTGCTCTTATGTAGTTTCCAGGACCTTTTCAGGAATATCTTCACATTCTAATTCAGCTCTAACATGAGATTCCTTTCTCATTTGTCTTGCCACAAGCCATTGGTTTCTGTTACCAGTACAGACTTACAACACTTAATGCCAAGAGCCAGGTAACCCCATAGTGGAGCATGGAGAAAAATATGACTTGCATTTGCCTTCCTGAACTTTGTAAAGGAATTCCAGTGTTTATGATTTATTCAGTAAGTTGTTCTCCAAGTACTGTAATCTCTCCTCTATGCACCACTGAATTGTGTCTGGAAGCAGTACTGGGAGTCAGACTGAAATCCAGTGTGTGTGTACATTCATCAGCTCACTTGGAACACTTGGGAGTTTTGGAGTAGTGAATTCAGTGATCCATAAGCAAAATATGAATGAGGAGGTGTTTGATGTTACTATCAAATCTAGTGCTGACTTCAGTACCTCCCCCCATCCCATTCATCATCTTTAATCTTTGACTCACTGTTTTTGGAGAGAACCACTTCTTCTTTAGTAGTAGGAAGACAACTCCACATTGTGAGTCCATTTTGATTCCCAGGATTTAAAATCCAGTGTATTAATAGTTGAGGATTTTTTTTAATCAGGGTTGCTGGTGTGTAATACTGCTGCTGAATACTGCATGTGTTATGCTTTGTAGATAATTCATTGGTAGTACTGCCAGTGACTGTATCTTGGCATTTTACTTGTTATTCCACATTGCTCTCAGGATATAAGTAAAAAGGCAGATAATATAGTGCTCTAAACTTAGGAAGCCAACTTCCTACTTTTTTTTTTTTCCTGGATAACTGATGTAGTTTTATACTTCATTGTTTTCTGTAGCCTGGGAGAAGATTCTAAAAATAGCTAATGGAAATTCATACCTAACATTTAATGATCTCAACTTCACTGTCTTTTAACAATGTTATTTAGTAATGCTGATAAAAATAATCCCTGCCATTCAAAACAGCCAGAAGGGTTGTTGATACACTCTGTAGTGTATCATTACAAGGGTTAGCAGCTAACATGTTGCAATAAAAATTTTGCAGGCCTGAATTATTCCGGCAAAGAGTCCTTGAGTTAAATGCTTCTGATGAGCGTGGAATTCAAGTGATTCGGGAGAAAGTGAAGGCTTTTGCTCAGCTCACTGCATCTGGAAGCCGTTCAGAGTAAGTGCTGGATCAAACCCCTCCTGCTTTGGACAAAGCATGTGGTTGTTTTTGTTTCCAGTATAAATGATGGGTCAGCACTGCCCAGAAGTTGGCAACACACAGGGCTTTGGCTGAGCTTTGACCTCATGGAATTTCGTGCCGGGGGGTTTGAATACCCGGGAGGATCTTTTGCTGGTGCTGTTAGCGTTGGAGGCAGACAGGGAAAATCCTGTAAGACCAAGACTTCTGGGTTTGGTCACACATAGTTGTCTTTGCAGGTGTTTGGCTACCATAGAAAGACCTCCTTGCGTAAATCGTGGTGGAAGTTACTCCCCTAGTACCTCTAGTGGAGCATCTCACACGAGATGGGTTTAGTTTGTAAGATGCTGAAAGGATTCTGGCATTAGGAGTGGAGAAACCCTGTGCAGGTCAAGCCACGTGTATGGACTGTGGAAAGTATCAGGAAGAAACTGCAGTGCCGGGACTGTCTGGCAAAAAAATGGTCTTGTGTACTGAAATCAGTCTGTTGCAGTGTTCTTTAGAGTTCAGGGAATCAGGAAGCCTGTAAAAAGAAGAGCTACATTAGGTGTTGAAAGAAGAAACAGCAAGGGTATGTGTTTTAGAGGAGTTTTGCAGCATTCGTGTTTTTTGTTGGTTTTTTTTTCCTTGGTCTGTACATTACTTGTCTCCTGGATAACAGGTTTCTTCTTACTTTTCAGTGGTAAAATGTGTCCTCCTTTTAAAATTGTGATCCTGGATGAAGCAGACTCGATGACTTCAGCCGCCCAGGCAGCCTTAAGACGCACCATGGAAAAGGAATCTAAAACAACACGTTTCTGCCTTATTTGTAACTACATCAGCAGGTACACGTGCGATTTTTTTGCTTATTTGAACTTGTTGCCTGTTCTGTAGTCTCTTCTTATTTTTCCCCACTAAGAGGTTGATACCACGTTTTCAGTAGTTTTCAGTTGATAGAGATGTAGCTACATGAATGCAAGACCGAAACAATATTTAGATTTCAACTTTTATTTTTTACAGTGTTGCGGTTTTAAGGTTATTTAAAACCTTTTCCACCTTGATAGCTTTGTCTGTCTGAACTGGACCCACAGATTGATTTACCAAACACTTACATTCCTTTCTTTCAGAATAATTGAACCTTTAACATCTCGATGCTCCAAATTCCGCTTCAAGCCTCTGTCGGACAGTGTCCAACAGCAGCGGCTGCTGGAGGTTTCTGAGAAGGAGCACGTGAAAATCAGTAATGAGGTAACTTCATGGCTGCCGTGTCGTTTTACTGCTTAATCCAGTGCATGGCAGTGGAAGAGGCCAAGTCAGCATACTTTTGCAGACTGCTCAACTGTACGAAATGCAGTGCATAAACTCACTTAGGTATTGTTCTCCTTCCGTAGACGAGATGAATTTTAAGAGTCGTCGTAAAAGCAGAGAAGTGTCCAGCAGAGAAGACTGAAGCTAAACTGGAGGGCTTTTTGTTCTCTGCTGAGTGCACTGGCATTAAACTGTGCTTCATTCTGAAACTGCCAGCACATATTTGTGTTAGTAGAGGGGTTGCTTTGTGACTTGTGTATTGAGCCTTGCTCTGAAAATCTGCTTTGGGCGCTACTTGATGTTTTAAAATAACTGTGTTAAAAAGTGTACTGGCTCTTAATTAACAGTGAACATATAATTTAGTATTTTCTGACATTGTTTTTCAGGCAGTGTCGTACCTTGTGAAAGTGTCAGAAGGGGATTTAAGAAAAGCAATTACTTTCCTTCAGAGTGCCACTCGCCTGATGGGTGGGAAGGAGATCACAGAGAAGATAGTCACTGAAATTGCTGGGGTAAGCTGTGCTTTGCAGTTTCTCCTGTAATTACTCTGACAAACATTTTGTTACCCTTATCTACTGTTGCTTCAAGTTTGATTTAAAAATTGTTTGATACCCACTAGTATTGCAGTATGGTACCAATAGAGTATCCACCAGAATTTTAAACACTGCCTGATTCTGTGTACTTATTACGTAGCAAGTTTCTAGCAACTTCTTCTGTAAATCATGGTAAACTGTAAAATAGTCTTATAATTCAAACTGCAGTTGAAATACTCTGCCCATAAATGCAAAATGTATTGCCTTCTGTGGAACAGTAGGTTAGAACATTTTTTGGTTCTTTTATATATATGTGTGTGTATATATAAGTATAGATCATTGAAAATATGGTTTGGAAGCCCCACAGGGGAATGACTTTCAGTAGCAGCTCATTTACAACTTAAATGTTCACAGTGACAGTGTCTCCTCAAGGATCTGTGTAGATCCTGCTTTTTAACAAAACACCAGTGATTTATTCTAGAATGACATAGATAATATTGACAGGGACAGGAGAAACCTGGGAGGAAATGCATTTATTAAAACATGTGTGAAGGTGTTCCTATAGCAACAAAACACTTACCCCCTGAAGCAAGAAATGTGAGATTAGGAGTTGAGGAGCTGAAAAATAAATGGGCTTTAATGATGGATGCATTTCCCTTGAAGGTGCTGCCATCACAGGTAATTGTAAGGGCTGGGAGGTTTTCAGTTTAATGGAACCAGAGGCAATTGCTTTTGTGCAGTGTTTTACAGAACAATTTTAAGCCATTTTCTCAGTGAAGTCATTGTTCAGTTTTGTGTATCTAGCTGTGAAACAGAGCTGATACCTGAACAGATATCAGATATCTGAAACCTGGCAGAAGCTGACTGTAATGGTAGGAAAGAGAAGCACAAAATTCCATTATTGAATGAGTCATGCTTGTTTAAACCAAAGGAACCCCACTTTACATCTTCATAAAAACTTGAAGTTATTGGTCATACATAACTTCTGTGACCCTGGAGTGACCTGAATAAAGAAGCTTTGAAACTGAACTGTCCAGACACTCAACTGACAGGAATGACAATAAGTAGAGGGGAAAATGGTTAGCTCTTCCCTACACAGAGTGAAGTAATGGCATCTGTCAACCTGTTTTCTTCTGATTTATTGTCTGATTTTAGTGCATCGGGCTTTTTTTGGATGTCCCTGGTGTGTCTTTGGAAATAAAACTGATTTGCTGTGTTGCTTTAGTGTAGAATGGCACAGAAAGCATTGGCTGATCTAAATGTTGAAGTATGTTCTCCACTTAGTGTCCTGAATAAGCAGTTGTGTGTTGGATTTATGAAGGTGATCTTGACAGTTCACTGTCATTAAGGTTTTTGTTTTAATATCACCAATATAGGACAAATATTACAGCCTAGCTTTCACTTTTAAAATTTAGTGGGTCTGTCATATACTTGCTTGAAGTGGTTGGGTGTGTTAGAGGAATGAAATGCTGAAATGGCCTCTGCCATGAGCAGTTTGTATCTGTTACTGTAAGCATCAACATCAGTTTTAAGTTTACAAAGTAGAAATTAAGAAATGTCACTTCTTGTTACAGGTCATCCCTAAAGAGACAATTGATGAACTGCTGTTGGGTTGCCAGAGTGGTTCCTTTGAGAAACTGGAAACACTGGCAAAGGTAAAGTCCTCTTAGTGCTCCAGCCTGAATATTTTCCTGAGTCCCCCTGAATCCTTTCTTGCTGGGCTGCAGCAGAAGAGAATTGGCCTCAATCAGTTTGGATTCACATTTTGGGAAGTGTCCTTTACCAGTTAGGGCTCCAGGCTTTCCCTTCTGAGGAAGAGCTGTCAAAGCTGCAAATAAACTTCCCTACCAATGGGACTCTGGTTTTCTCCTGAGTTAAACTGGTGGCATGTGGAGATGTTAGGCTGAATTAGGCAGAGGAGGATTTCTGAGGGACACACTTGGCTCAGGCCTTTAGAACTGTCTCTTCAGAGGACTGGAGTAGTCCCTGGACTAGTCACCTTCTTCATTACTCAGAAGCTGTGTTAGATGAGAAGTATCTGAATAAAGCTGTAATAACTCTTCAGTTTTAAAATAGTGCATATTAATCTTTTGGTGCACTGGTGATTAAGTTTGTAAGACAAATTGCAGTGAGTTAAAACAGACCTTGCTGGAGGAAGCACAAGCTATTGTTTTATAGAGGTGGGGTTATTTTCTTTAATACAGAATTTTTCTGAATAATGGGACATTCCTGATCTGAAGAGTTTAAAGCAGGCTCAGTCAGTCTTGAACTGGATTTTAACTCCAGGACTTGTCCCTGACAGGGGGCCAGCCACAGTACCATTCCCCCTTCCAGTGAAATGTTCCATGGCTTTATGAAAAGAGTCAGTACGATCAGCCTCCTGCTTTTTGCTTGGCTGAGCCTCCTTGGATGGTCTTGGCAGGACCTTTGGTTTCGAGTCTGGATTTATTCTGTAAACTTGCAGCAGATCTTAAAATTGTTTTGGAAGGCTTTGTTTAGATGTCCCTGTCTTTCACTTTTCACATTTACTTACGTGGTGTCTGAAACTGTGTTAAGAGGTGATGATATGGATTATCCAAACCTTCAGGGCTGGCACAGTCTTTTATCAAGCCGTGATCTGATCCAATCTAATGGAGTGTTTTGGAACTGTTCTCCACTTGCCAGAGTAGGTGCTTCGTGGTGGGTGGCACAATTGGACACACAGTTCTGTAAAGCATGGGAGTGGATTTAGCTGTACAGAAGAATAAGGTTGCACCAACTCTTTTTCTATTTTCATAAATTCTTTTTTCCTAAATGGCTTCATTGACCACTGTATTTGTTGGTTTTGTTACTGGGCACTACTGCTTTTTTTTTAAAAAGCTATCTTTAGTTACCATGGTTTTTATTTCAGTAAAAGAGCCTTGGCCTTACAGATCTCTGTATGCCTGAGACTAACAACTATCAGATGAAGAAAATAAATCAAAGTAGGTGGCACTTTAAAATGGGAAGGCTGTGAAGCTGCCACATGACACTGTGGATGCCAGGCTTTCCTAATTTTAGAATAAGACTGGACAGGTTCAGTGGAGGTTGTTAAATGTTTAAGATGTCTCACAAAATCCACGAGATATGAATTGTCAGAAGCTGGAAGAACATTTGGGCAGAATTACTGCTCTGTGCCTGCCTTCCTTGTGCAGCCTTTCCTGGGTGCTCACTTGGGGACCCTGTCAGGCAGATGCAGGGCAGGGCTGTGCACAAGCTACTGAAGTGTCCTCCAAACCGCAGAAGTTCTATCCTAAATTTCAGCAGAGTCTTTCAGTTCAGATAGAATTTTTCAGATTGGGTTTCCAGTTGAATTGCCTCCCTTTTCCTCTCTCCCTGGCACAGAATCTCATCAATGAGGGGTTTGCTGTTGCTCAGCTTGTAAACCAGCTGCACGACACGGTGGTGGAGAGTGAAGATCTCAGTGACAAGCAGAAATCTGTCATAGTGGAGAAACTTGCGGTGAGTCTGTAGCTTCAGTCAAAAAACCCAAACCACGTTAATCTTCACTGATTAATTTTTTTTGGACAGTCTCTCCCAAGAAGTAAATGATCATTTTTTTTTTTGTTCTGAGTGTTTCTTGGTAGAACCTAAATTTTTATCCTGAGAAATTTCATGAGAAGGAATTGAAACCCAGTTAAGTGAATTATTGTTCATATCATGTTGTGGGACTCAAGCAAGAGGTTTGTGGGTTTGGTTGTTTTCGATGTAAGGTGGGAGGGAAAATTAAGACAAAATTAAGTCATCGCTTCAAAAAAATTAGGAGCTGCAAAATGCAAGTTTTTGTTCTGATGTGTAAAATGTGCCTTTAAAAAAAATTAAAAATTCATTAACTTGCTACATTTTGGCCAAAAAGACGAGGCAGTGGTGGAGGTTTTGCTAAATTCACTGCAGACAGGCAGGTGGTGTTGATGCCTTGCAGGGATGCTCCTGGCAGGTCGTTTCAGAGCCAATGGCACATCCCTTTGTGTGTGGAGCTGCCATGCTGTGGCCTCCTCTGGAAGATGGAGACTGGAGAGCTCGTTGTTCCCAGTTCAGTAGGAGGTGTGTGCAGTGTGTGCCGGCTGGAGAAATCTGTGCCAATTGAGCAAACAGCTGCCAAACTTCACCTTGGGCTTCTCCACTGTACTCCAAAACACAGATGCCATGAGCACCATTTTCAGAGGGTTTTACCTCCTCTCTTCTGTCTGCAGGAAGTGGACAAATGCCTGGCAGATGGTGCTGATGAATTCTTGCAGCTGATGAGTCTCTGTGCCCTTGTGATGCAGCAGCTCACACAGAACACCTGACTCCTCCAGCAGCTCTTTGTTCCAGGGGTGGCTGCAGCTCTGAGGCCAGGGACCCATGAACTTTTGTACTGGTTTTTTGCAATAAAAGGACTGCTCAGCAGTTGGAAAAGCTCATGTTGGAGTATTTGATTCATTTTTTTTTTTACACTCAGTTAAAGAGCAGGGGGGTCAGTGATGCTTCTGTGCTGCACTTATGGAAGGGTAAAGTCATCAAAAATGTGCATAGACTGAACACATAATCAGCTGGAAGCAGAGAAAGGAAGGAGTTATTCACAGCAACCCCTCTTGGTTTTGAATGAATTGACTTAGCAAAATGATCACATCCCTATTGCACTTCAGACTGAACCCATCTCCTGAAGGAGCACATCCCCTGCCACCTCTATCTTGTATCTGATACTTTAATGTTAAATGTCACAAAATAGTTTTACTTCACTAAAGCTACTTAAAAAAAACTGTGAAGGGCAGGTCATCTTCTAAAGATGTTACTTATCTTGCCTGAGCATCACTCTGTTCTTGCTCACCCCAGTTTTAAAGCTGTGACCTGGATGAATAACACAGCTCTGGGGTCAAGCAGCTTTGGGACATTTCCCTTCAGAGATGCTTTGAACATCCATCCCACCTTCCTGAGTGCAGTTAAAAAGGTGCCCTTGTACAGGAATGAAGCAAAAATGCTGCAGTGCAGGGAGTTTTATCACCCAGCACCGATTATTAAGGGAGCCATTTTCTACACTGATGAAAGGGTGTTTCAGTGTAAGGACTCTTGTCCAGCACCCCTGAGCTGTGTCACACAGGGACAGCCTCTGGCACTTGGAGCTCACCCAGTACTAGCCCAGAAAAACCCCTGCAATTAATGACAAAGCATGGCGGGGGGGCACAAGCACAAAGCTGCCTCTGGGCCCTGTCACCTTCAGCTCCCACCCTGAGACAGCCCAGGCTGCTGGCACCCTTCTAGTGAGACCCCCTCTACCCAAGAAGCAACTATTTACAATTTAAGTGAATATAGAAGTATTTTATTGAACATTCAAACTTCATTAAGACATGTGCAATATGGCAAATTTTACTGGGTTTAACCCTAACTAAGACAATAGTATGATTGCTTGCTTGCTGGGGCTTAGCAACAGGGTCCAAATCACACTTACCACTAATTAAATACTTTATTGAATAAATACATATGAAACAAAAATGCATTTTAATGCTCTTATAAAAGTTTAGAGATTTTGAAAGGCCTTTCCAATTTAATCTGAGGTGTAAGTACATACAATAAAGGAAGGTAGGCTAGTTTAACATAATTGGCTGACTTTATACAGCACTTATATCTTTTAGTCCATAAGTAAATTATTAAATGATAAAGAACATCTAATACAACCACTTCTATGGAACTAGGAAATAAATTTCTAATAAAGAAAAAATTTACAGACCCCATGACTTTCCACCCAACCCCAACAGTCTAACCCTAAAGTGGACAAAGCCAATGGCTTTCCCCACAAGAGCTCACGACACAAAGTCGCTTCTCTTATCAAAAATCTGTATTTCTGATCCGTAATGAGCATTGAGACAAGATTCAATGTATCCCCAAAGAAAGAAGCACAATGCGCGTTGTGAATCGCCTATTCAGCAACAGCGAGCACTGGATTCACAACCACCTCATCCCGGGGACTAAATGAGATCAGCCACATTCATTGGCATCTCCTCCACTGTAGTATTGTAGAAAGTCTCAATGTCTCGCAGGATCCTCTTGTCCTCTTCAGTGACAAAATTGATAGCCACACCTTTTCTGCCAAACCGGCCACCCCGACCAATTCTGCACAAAAAGAAAGCACATTTACACCCAAGTTAACCACTCCAATCTGCTTTACATGTTTGCAAGATCCACTCACAAACTGCTGCTCTCATCTGCCACTGGCCAGCCTAGGCTGCCTTTACAGGACCAGCTGCCACCAAAGTCACCTCTGGTCAGGAAAAACCAGCAGCTGGTGCCAGCAGCATAGCAGAAGGTCCATCCCATGGTGGCAGCAGGGCAGACATGGTTACTCTTTGGCTGCAAAGTAAGATCTTTATTTAATGGTTGGTGCTGCTGTGTGAGGTCCTGGGTCAGTCTCCCGCCCCTCTGCTCAACTGCACGCCCACCCCTCATGCATCCAATCCCAAGCACAGGGCACACAAGACAGGCTGTTGTTGAACAATCAGACTGTTACTAAATCCAATTACATCCAGTAACATAGAACAGCACACTGAATTTCATAATTTTAGTTCAACCTGTTTCCAGTGGGAAAACTTAGGGTTTGTTGGTTTTCTTAAAAAGCAAAATCCAAGGCCAACTCTTTTGTGTAAGCCCACATTGGTCACTAACACATCAGTGAGTACTGTTTAGTTACACCCACCATCAGCTCTACCTTCCTACAGACTGCACAGTAGAGCACTTTGCCAGCAAGAGCTTAACACACAGAAATGGCTCACAAAACTTAGGGGTAATCATGACAAAAGAAATAAATAAATACCAACTCGCTCTTTATTCAAACTGTGCCGCTTACGAATCCACGTCCTAAATTACGTCAACGCCGTTTCTGAGCACCATCTTGTGTCATCAACTGCTGCTATCGACTCCTGTATTTTTTTACATCAAGTAACAAAGCACAGTTTACTTAATTTAGGGACAGTCACTAGAAGTAGTTAACTAAACCTAGGGGAGCAGACTGCTACCAGAAAGACACACCACAGAGGAAAGAATCCCACTGAGGAGCCACCAAGAGCAAACATGGCACGCACAACACAAACACAGCTGGACCTCCACAAGTGAAGGCAGCCCTACACAACTCGCTTGCTAGGAGTAGTAAGGTCTATCTGGTTCCTGAGCAGGATCAGCCAGGACCCCAAATTAAGCTGATAATGCTGTCAATGATGTGCCAGCAACAGCTTTGCCATCGCTCATCACAGCCTACGTGACAAAAGGCAGTTCAGTAGCTGGCATTTTTCCCACATCTCTCAAAAATGGTCAGCCATCACCAAACCTCTTACACGTCTAAGTTTTCCCACTGCTTTGTTTTGTTGTCCAAAGTCCTGCTCCTCCCTTGTTTCAGAACCACAGCTGTGCAATGCAGGGCTTTTCTAAAGCCCATCCACAACTGGTTTTATTCCCTGCTGGCTTTTGAGCAGTTACTGTATGCATGGATAAGTAACACCTCCTGTTTTTGGCAAGGACTACAGGGAAGAACAGGCGAGGGTCTGTGCCTTTGCTGTGACATTCAGCAGAGCACACAAACCGGTGGGCAGAGCCACTGACCTGTGAATGTAGTTCTCACGATTGGTCGGCAGGTCATAATTGATAACCAGAGACACTTGCTGCACATCAATGCCACGAGCCTGGAAAGCAACACAGAAGCATTAATGGAAGTCACAGGCTCCTTAAAAACGCATCCATCCTGGTTTTTTTGTCACCCACATTGTTAGTTATGAACTGCAACTGTGCAGTCCACAGTGGAGTCGTGGTCTTTGCTGTTCCAAAAGGCTCCCAACAGTTCAGGCTACAAGAGCCATCACTGACTTAAGAAGCTTTTGGGCATCAGGTTGTAACGGGAACATATTCAGTGTAAGGTAACACTCACCAGCAAGTCAGTGGTGATCAGGACACGGCTTGACCCTGATCTGAACTCTCTCATGATAACATCTCGTTCCTTCTGGTCCATGTCACCATGCTGGAGAATTTAAAAAACGGTTGCAGTCAGTACAGTTCCAATGCTCAAAACTGGAACATCCTTTAAGAAACAGCAATGTGTGAAACCCAGCGTCCCTACCTGCCGTGGGAACAAAGCAGGTAGGGATAGAAAGGAAGCACTTTACTTTCAGCAGGGGGAACGATAATACAGCACTGCACAGCTATATTATAACTTTCCTGCTTCTCATTCTAATACCCCTCATCACCATTTCTTTCCCAGTACATACAGGACATTTCAGAAGTGATGGGAAGTATGAATTCCTACCAGAGCTGAGACTGTGAAGTCCCTGGCGTGCATTTTCTCTGTAAGCCAGTCTACTTTTCTCCTTGTATTCAGGAAAATAACAGCCTGTGTAATGGTCAGCGTCTCATACAGATCACAGAGAGTATCCAGCTTCCACTCCTGAAGAGAAACAAGATAAGGAAATGCATCATGCCATGTACAGCTCATACATAAGAGCCCCAAAAAAGGTATAAAACTCCAATACAACAACTAATGAAGCATCCTCTCACACACAGTATTTAGTATGATCTGGATAGTTGCAACAAGACACTAAGTCAAGTTTTTGTATCAACTGTTGCACCAAATCTTAAGACATAGGACACTGGACATTAAGAAAGAGGTCCACCCTAGTCTTTTCGATCCAGTGCTATGTTTTTCTTCTTCTTGCATGTACTCTACTAGCATTATTGCAGAAACCAAAGCTCAGCCTTGATTTCTGCAATTTTAGTACAGTGCTTTAACAAGAAGGTAAGAGATAGCAAGTCCTCCTGTCAGAAAAAGTACAGCTGATACCAACCTCTCTCTCCACATTAATGTAGAACTGCTTGATACCCTCCAGAGTCAGTTCTTCTTTCTTTACCAAGATACGGATGGGATCTCTCATGAACTTTTTGGTCACTTCCAACACATCCATTGGCATTGTAGCTGACAGCAGCACAACCTGGAACACATTACTCTGTGTTAGCACATACCAAGGATACCAATTTGTATAATTCAGTTCTCAGCCACACTGTAATCAAATCTGCATCCATCAATTTAACCACGTAAAAGCTTTTTACCTGGATGTTTGTGCTAAGTTTTTGAAAGATCTCATAAATTTGATCCTTAAATCCACGGCTCAACATTTCATCAGCTTCATCCAGAACAAACATTTTGATCCATTTAGGTGCTATGGGAACAAAACAAAATAGCATCTCATGAAGTTTCAGAAACACACAAAGTCCTTTCTCAGTATCATTCTCCTTTAGTACTACACTTTCCAGCAAAAGCTCTTCCTGGGTATGAGATTTATACTGGAGATTTGTTTAAGAGCACAACTGAATTCATACTTACAAAGGTAGCGCCTGTTTAACATGTCAAACACGCGCCCTGGAGTTCCGACCACAATGTGTGGAGCCT